GGGGGGGGGGGGGGTTCATACAGCGCTGCCAGTATGAATCAACACGGCTCTCCATTGGCTATCAGTGCACGTTCGATCATACACAAAATGTCCTTAAGTCCTGGATTCCATAGCTTCCATTTAATTGTAAGATGCTGGGAAGCCCACAAAAGATGGTCACCAGTTTGTTCAAAGGATTGCATTCCCTTACCTATTTGGAGAGATTACAATAAATTGAGATTATATTCCACTTACTACTGCTGATTACGCGGGGAGTTGATTTTAGTTTATTAAATACTACAGGGCCCAAGTCGTCCCTGCCATCCGCTTACCACAGGGGCCATCCTTTTAAACTATTGTTTCAAAAATGTCGACTGGAATACAGGTGTCAATCTTTTATCTTCAGTGGATACTTCGTGAAACGCTGGCATACCTTATAGTTCAACACTATCAAAATCACAAACAGTAGAACTCCACATCGTGTAAAAGGTCGATACCCAGAAGCATATTTGACAGTTCTCACTTTTCTCCAAGAAACATAAAGTTGTGGAAATATCTCGCGTAACAATAGAAATTGAGCTTGCAAGTGATTCCCTAAACAAAACTTTGACTTTGGCTTTGAACGTGCAACGCAATTCGCGAAGAACACATACCGGAAACGATGATGGTAGACGTCTAGCTATTATTGTTATTGTTATTGTAATAATTTCTATAGACATAAAGCCTATATTTTAGTTAAAAATATACAATTTGGAGAGAAGAAAAGAGTTAAAAAAGAGTTAAATCCCAAAACTGTTAACAGAGTCTGTGAAAACCTGCTATTTGTTAAATAGAATACGTGCTAATAAGGGTACCGTAGAATTACGATATATGTTTATTTGAAAGGGAACACAACGATATTGGGATCTAGTTGACGAATGGGAACAACTGGAAGTTTAATCTGCGTGTATCGGATGTGTGGATTCCATATGAATCTTGTTTGCAAACTTTTCACGTACATTCAAATGTTGTTCGCATAGTTCAGTTACCAACTCCTCCAGCGGGATTGAACAGACGCGGCTATGATGGTCAGTCCACGTCGACGCAGTTTAAAAATCTTTCTTTAGGAGATTGGAAAAAATAACACGTGAACAATAAAGTAAANGGAGAAAACACACTGGTACACGAATTTGGGAATGATCGATTGTTGGATACGAAACTGACGAAGTTTACAGATATGAAAAGCATGCCATCGAAGCTTTTTGACGGTATGTTGAATGCGAGTGATCCAATGAAGATTAACACCAATAAAGACACACATGTATTCAATACAGCTTACTCGGGATATTGGTTCGGAGCCGATCGACACCGAATCAAATGGGGAAGAAGAATGCAATAATGCAAAGAGATATTCTAAACATTTGGAGGGATTAAGAGAGGGAGACCGGGTGTGGAGGAATATTGTTGAACGTTTTCCAAGTTGGCAGAAAATTGTTAAAGACCAAAATAATCGCAGACGGCCTGATATCTTCAGCTTATTTGAATAGAAAAGTAGGGACACGGGCCGACAAGTTACTAATATAAGGGGAAAATAAGTATGAGGAAACAACAACTTGCAGTA